GTTTTTGCTTAGGAAGGAAAATGGGGGGTTCCTAAGCAAAAAACACATATAGTAAAACACTGGTCCAATCCAAAATTACAAATGCAGTCATACACTATTTTTGTGATGGGATGGAATCAACCAATGCACAGACGCAGTAGTAGTCGCATGATCAGAAATTCAGAATAGCATAAGTCACTTTATGTCCATACCATGGAGGAAGCTGAGTACGAGAAGGCCAGACATGACTGCTATTTATATGCTGCAAAATTTAAACTCCTCCTATGCAGCAGGAAAGTAAAGTTGACAAAACGTGTATGGATGGTTCAGCTAACCTGGGAGTGGCAACGGCGTCGATGACGGCAGATTAGGACCCCTGCCCTGCTTTCAGCGCACCTGGTCCAACGGCAGAACCTGAGTTCAGTAAGGTAGCAGCCGAAAAATCATTATCGAAATATTTGGAACCAAGTTGCAGCTGTAAAAGCTAAGTGACAATATAGATTCTGCAAACTTCCACAAGTTCCTAACAACCCATAAGGGGTGCCAAAATCAACAAATGGTACAATGTGTTCCTGTGAATCCCTTTAAAATTAAATACATAAGAAAGTCTACTTCTCAGTTCTATGAATCAGTTAAGGCTTCAAGTTCATATGTTCCATCATCGCATTTTCTCATGCACTTGGTGTGAAACCAAAATTTCCAAATTCTATCAAGGCATTTTGTCATGCACTTGGTGTGAAGCCATAATTTCCAAATCCATTTGTTTCTCAAAAAGTAATTAAATTAGAGGATAAGATATATGTGATTTTGAATTTGAAACCAGAGATCGCCTTTAGAGTTACAATAATGATCTGTCGATGTTGTACCGTGGTGTCCGATTCGAACGAGCTGCAGCACGGTTTGATATCAGTTCTTGAGATAAAGTATATAATAGTGACAAATTGAAATATGGTTTGACTTCACACAGAAACACATGCAGCCACACAGGTTACTGATAGGCTTCCAGAAACATCCTGAGTAAGTCATTGGAGTGCATAGTGACATAAGTGTGTGCCTACAGAGAACATGTGCCTAGGCTTTCTTGAAAGATCAATAGAAAGCAAGGAATAAATTGGCAGGTACCTTTATTCTACTGGATTTTGGCTGATATAGCCAAGTGCCAAATCACGCCAAGCATTGCATTTAAGTTTGCAATCATGTGCACGCTCCAAAAATTCAAAGAGATACATATGACGTAATAAGGAGCACATCATGTAATTCATCCAAATGATAACTCACGACTCGGAACAAACAATAGTAGAGTACTGGATGTGCCTAAATCAGAAAAGCGTAGACATGTCTTAGTGCAGATATGCACAGTACAACATTCATGAAGTTTTTTGGCTTTCAGATTGTTTTTGCCACTGACAAAGACAAAATGCGTAAGAATAACCGGGATACAAAGCAAATGAAAGCAAAGTGTCTACGTCATGATTGAATCAAATAGCATGTCCTCAAAATAAAACTCCCTAAAGCTTCTTATTATTGAAGTTTTATTTATTTATTTTGGAAGAGAATGGATTAACCGATATATTAATGTTTTGAGTAAAGTCCGGTTTTAGAAAGAGTTGAGATTCAGAAAAAAATGTAAGAAAAATGGACCCTAATAAGGTCCTAGTGATTTGGTGATTGAGTGATAATAATATAACTAATGGAACTAACAATGTTTGATAGTATAGAAGGTAGTTCCAAGGGTGCAAAGGATGGACTTGAGGTAGGCCAGGGCAGAGATCAAGCAATTAACACCTCAAAGGAAGATCAAAGAAGGACCTTTGAAAACCCTGAAAACAAGTAAGAAACTAAGGCAACATTCAAGTGAAGCCCGAACAATTGACGCCAACATAGAGGTGCCCACAGAATGCAAATGGGTCCAAGGGGAAGTCACGCGTACAAAATTGCAAGTTTCAGATGTGATGACAATTGTAATGCCATGTTTACGATACCGTGAATAGTAATGGTAGATTTTCTGTAAGTGACATTTGTAATGGCGTATGGTTTCAGTTAACCCTTAACTCTTTGCCACTCGATCCCAACTCTCCGATTGTCATTTTTTACATGGAAATCTGCATTGTTATCATCGGAGAGAGAATAAACACTACATTGTTACTATTTTTTAATTGAGTTGGCACGCCAAATCATGGTGGGAGCATGGATTCCATGTCAGATCGTGCGAGCATGACTTCACTGTGAAGGATCGCTAGAACACCACAGTGCGGCGTCCGCTGTCGCTGTCACTTGTTGGAAGGGAAGGTCTGGCTTCCCACTCCCACACCCCTGACCACTCACGACCTGACCCCACGTCCCCTCACCTCAGTTCCCAAATCCCAAGGGAGGGCTCTCATCTTACCCTCCCTGGCGTGTGGCGTGCTCTGCTCTCCCTGCCGCCACCGCCGCCGCCTGCCGGATCCGGCCGATCCTCCACCCCACGTCCCCACCGCACTCCATTGACGCCGCTCCCCTCCCCTCCCCTCTCCTCCCGGGAGATCCGATCCGATCCGATCCGTTTGTGCTCGTGCTGGTGGTGAGTCATCCTGATCCCTATCCTATCGCTATCACTGTCCCTTGTTGTTTAGAGTTTATATTAGACGCGCCCTTTGATTCTAGTTCGAACTGTATTATCTAATCAGACAGATCCAAGGTAGCAATTTTTCCGCTAACTAATGTAAGAATTTATGAATGTAAACAGACCTATTCCTTTTCCTATCCACTCCAGTCCTACATAATTATCCCGCCCCCCATAGTTATAATTTCGGATTCGCAAAATCACGATCCAGCCTGTTAGCAGATTACCTGTTTCAGAGCTCGCTCTCAGCTTTTGGGCTGAGGCACACATCTTGTGTTTTCTTTCCACTTTGGCCTTTGGGGGCTCAAGCTTCATGGAACCCAGCAGCTCAGCTCTGTATGTAAATGTGAGCCAAAGGTAGACGGATACATAGAGTGTACTGTAAAATAGTCACACAGACATGTCTGGATGGACATTTCCGTTACAGAAGGCTACTATGGTGGTTGATTGTTTTCATCCAAGACTGATTGTCTTATGTTTCTCTGGGTTGATGCTCCCTGACCGAATCGATGCAGTAATAATAGGAAAATGGTTCTCAAACTACACATCATTTTAATAGTTGAGTGACGAGGAATCTATCTCGTGGTGTTCATTATACTGCTGCTATTCAGATTTAGGACACCGTCGTATTGCTGTCCTACTTCTACTGGTTTTAAATGTTCAATTCAAAAGGTTTTTTTTTTTCTCCTTTGGAGAATGTCTGCTATTGCTTTCCATGCAATGGTTTGCTTCTGTTGATTCATTTTACTCAGCGTTTTATTTTCCTGTCTTCTTTTGACAGCAGGAGTAGTAAAACTAAAATATGGCTGCCTTGCCGTTGGCCACCGCTGAAGTATGCGATGCTAATCCTCATCTGATTATGAACGGCGAGCTCCGTGCTCTCCAGCCCATCTTCCAAATCTACGGAAGGCGCCAGGTTTTTGCCGGCCCTATTGTCACACTGAAGGTGTACGAGGACAATGTTCTGATCCGCGAGTTCCTTGAGGAGAAAGGCCAGGGGAGGGTCCTTGTGGTTGATGGTGGTGGGAGCATGCGCTGTGCCATTCTTGGTGGCAACCCCGTCCAGCAGGCACAGAACAATGGGTGGGCTGGTATTCTGGTCAACGGCTGCATCAGGGATGTCGATGAGATCAATGGCTGCGACATTGGTGTCCGAGCTCTGAGCTCGCACCCTATGAAGGCAAACAAGAAGGGAATGGGGGAGAAGCATGTCCCCGTCAACATTGCTGGAACCAGGATTTGTGACGGCGAGTGGCTCTACGCCGATACGGATGGCATTCTTGTCTCAAGGACGGAACTGACCGTGTAGACCTGTTCTGGAGCCTATCTGTATGTCTGTATAAGAATCGGGCGCATAAAAGCAGGGCTACTCCTGACCTTGCGCTCTTGCTGTTAAGCCTGGGCTTGCAATAATGGATTCTTGCTGGATCACACATTTATACTTAGAATAATCTAATGCTTCCATGGTTACAAGATGTTCTTGGACAAAATTTTGTTCTTTGTGAACTTTCTATTCTGGTGATGAAGTTTCTTCAACATGATTAAATTAGATCACCATGTTGGTGTAGTTCTGAAGCTGTGTTCTGTGTCTTGGCCTTGTGGCAGGCTGGTACTAGTGCCTTTGTTGAAGTATGTATAGCTTGGACTATGATGATGCCTCTTTTTGCCAAAAAAGAAAAAAGAAAAAGAAAAGAGTATCTGTGAAAAATTACCTTATTATACATGACATTTGACACGGATTATAGGTCTACACTTGTAATTAGTTTAGAACTGCACTTGTTTCTTTTGTCTTCGTCACCAATCAACAAATGATGGATACGTGATTAACAAATGATGAATACCTGATTAAGCGATGCATTTCGTCTTTTGAAAAGAAGCTGTGACGCATACCATTAATTAATCTTACGATTTCAGCTCAATATGAAGTTTTTTTTTTCTTTTTAAAAGAAAAAGAAGCTGTGAATACAATGGGCAAAGTGGTGACTTGGCACTTATTTAAAGTAGTACACAGTGGCAAATTTAGAAGAAATTTAGGGCACCGGTTTGCAATTCTGTGAACTTAATTTTAGAAGGATGGCAATTGGGCCATGACTGTTTCTTTTCGGTAGGGTGGCCAAAACTTCCCAACAAAAACAGGTCCTCTGCTTTCAGCCTTTCACCCCTGCCCTCTCTCGTCTCTTGTGGGCAGGCCAGGTCAGTGTCAGGTGCCCCGTTCGACAGTCCCTTCGCTGGCGACGAGCATCCACTACGTATGCGCTCCTCTTCTCACGAGTTCTCGAGACCTAACTTGTTAAGCTATTTGGCTATTGGTATTGGGATGTGACCCAGTTACGAGGCCTAACTGCGTAGCAGTCTAGGTGTTCGACGAAATGCCTCTGACACCGGTTGTGTTCGTTTCTGTCCCGCTGTGTCCAGGACGATGGTGGGTCTCTCTGAAGGGGAGAAGCACTTCATCCGCGGCGGCATTGCGCAGGACCTTCGCACTGATGGACGTAAGCGACTGCAGTTCCGGGCCCTCTCCGTCCAAACTGGAGTCATTCCACAGGTAGGTTTCACAACTTGTTTGGGGGCAGGCATCCGCATGCCTTTCACTTTTCCTTCTTTTCTGGAATGCCCCAGCGCCTCCGGTTTTATGTTACTTCGGATTGGTGGTTGTTACAGGCGAATGGCTCAGCGCGTGTTAGATTGGGGGCCACTGAAATAATTGCTAGCGTCAAGGTAAGAGTCTGTCCTCACTAGCATTTTGCTGCAAATATGGCAAGGCGAATGTTTTTCTATGTCTCGTTCAATCCTCTGTACGCCATCTTCTATTCTCGACTTAGCTTCCAAGCAACTCTGATGTTCCCAAGACAGTGAGGCTGTCAGTTATTGATTGTTACTAAGCATTAGGCACCTATGTTGCAAAGCTAATGCTTTAATTCGATTTTGTTATGTTAAGCTGTGAACTCTGAAATCACAATGCTAGTTTTGTTTGGGCCGTTTTGAGTGACAATAAACATCACGCTAGAGAGTCAACAAGTTGGTGTCTATCTGTCTGTTGATATTGTTACTACTTAGATAAACTCGATAAAATAAAGCCGTTACAAATAGTGTGTTGTACCTCCTCCACCGTGTCATTTTATATGACTTTCTTTGATTCTGATGGGTTGGCATCTGCAGGCTGAACTTGGAAAACCAAGCATTCTTCACCCAGACAAAGGAAAAGTTTCCATTTTTGTTGACTGTAGTCCAACCGCTGAGCCTATGTTTGAGGTTGGTGATTTGCTGTGACTGGATCAAATGAAAATAACCAACAGTCTGATACATTACTTGTGTTCATCATATACCCAATGTTTGGCACTGTGGTCTGGACCCTGGACTTTATTCAAACTCTTTTAGATCTTCTATGGAACTATGCATATAGACTTTGCTGAAATTTTATGTTTGAATGCTAATGATGTGACGTTGAATACGAAGAAGCAAAAAGCTTGTTGACTATGAAAAATAAAGAAGTCACTGGGATGCATTTGAAGAAGCATATTGTTTTTCTGATAATAGTTATTTTATATTTTATTACTAGTGGCCTTTATTATTTACAGGTGCTTCTGCATATATGTTCCTTTTGTAGATGTGCTCATTTGATTCCAGTTAGTAGAAAAACAGTATTTTCCTTTGTACATTGGTTACCGATTGCCTGGTAAAACGATGCTGCTAGAGAGGAATATATATAGAAAGGAAAACTTTATTTTGTTCCTTTTCAGATTTCATTCTATATGAAAATTGAAAATCCTATTGTTTTACTTTTGTATACATCTTATTTCCTTTATTTGGAGTTTTCTAGGGTAGAGGTTCTGAAGAATTGTCTGCTGAGCTCTCTGTTTCCCTGCAAAGATGCTTGCTGGGTGGTAAAAGTGGTGCTGGTAAGATATAACTTTATTGCCTCCCTAAAATCCTTGTATTTGACATGGTCAGTGTACACTGATCTCCTTTAGTTTGATGCTCCTAATATCTTCATTGTTTCTCTCTATCATCAGTTATAACTACTACTTGGACATGGGTGACATCATTATTTGTGTCGTTACGATTGTAGTACATTTAATTAGATGTACCTTCCTTAGGTTAAGCTTTTGCTAACTAGTGAATTATACCTAGCAATTTGGATATATGTTATTAAGCACGTTTGCTTAGATACACCAACTAGAGCGGCCTCACATATCAGTACCGTTGATTGCCATTGCCATGCCTATTTAGTTGCAGGTGTAGTACATAATAATGTTGTAAGTGTTATTATGGACGACGTAGACAAAAAAAAATTCATGCCATTGTTTTTGCTAGTCATCCTACATTTCATATAAAGGTGATTTTAGTGCGCTGTAGTTGCTGAACTTTCATATCTGTGACTGTTCTTCAAATTTCCAGGTTATTGGGGAGATTTCATTCAGAGATTAGTGTGTTAACCAGTTGCAGCTCTTCCTCTCTGATCCCATTGTCTGTTATAGTCAAGAAATCTTTAATGAGAAATTGATTCCTCATGTTGTTATCCATCTGTTTGCTTGTACAGTTTTCTTTCAATTCAAACTTATGCCAACAATATTTTGTTGCCATTTAATTGACCACACTGCATTGAATTGATAACACATCTGTCAGTGTCAAGTAACAACATTCTCATTTCAGGTGCTGCAATTGATCTGTCGTCCCTAATTGTTGTTGAGGGAAAGGTCTGCTGGGATCTGTACATTGATGGGCTTGTGGTCAGTTCTGATGGTAATTTGCTAGATGCGCTAGCTGCTGCGATAAAGGTGACTTTTTGACTTGTATTGCTTGTTACTTGCAGTTTTAAATTTCATATGTTTCTTGCAACTGTTTGAATGGAGCCTAGAATTTCCACTTTGCAAATGAATTGGTAGAAAAGTGTCATCTGTGTCCCTATAGACAGTTATCGGTGCATCTGATATGGAAAAGATTAGAAATTCAATAATCCCAGTGTTGAATTTATACATGAATACATCCCAGTGTTCCGAGGACCAAGCTTTGGTAAAATTCTGTCTGTTGATTTACTTTTTGAATGGAAATATGAAAACATGATCACTTGCTAGTTAAATGTTATTATCGTCAGCCTATAACCAGTGAACCAGGCCAAATATGTATAGTGTGAAGAGCAAACTTTGTGCGGATAGTCAGCGGACATATTGAACGCCATGCAGCTGTTTAAGATGATGTTTCCTTCCCTTATCAGAAAAAGGATGTTTCTTTCAAATGGAGACTGCATGCACCATCTCATTTTCTTGAATTTATGTTTCGTTTTGGGTATAAGCGTATAACTTCACCTTATGCTCTCAGCTGTCAGGTATCCAAAAGTCCCTCACCCCTCAAGAACTCCATAATAGGGCATATCATAGTTTACCAATTCCCATTTTGTTATGTGATATTGAGAGCGAATAGGTCTCGGTAAATTGTGATAGATTGATATGGGTACAGGGAGTACATTATATAGGCAAGGATCGGGAAGGGTTTATAGAAACATCCAATCAACGGTGATCCTTGCCTAACCAATAATCAACTACCATAATCCCTAGAGGCAGCCTAGCCGATAGGCTTGGGCGTCAGGCCCATGGCCAGCCCATAAGGTGTCTATTCTAACACGCCCCTGCAGTCGAATCGTCAGTCACTCTGCACGTTTAGACTGGACCTGAACTCCGTGAACACTGAAGAAGGCAGCCCTTTGGTGAAGATATCCGCATATTGTGAAGAAGTGGGAACATGCAGAACACGAAGATCACCAATGGCGACTCGCTCCCGGACGAAGTGAAGATCAATCTCAATGTGTTTGGTTCGTTGGTGCTGTATCGGGTTGGAGGTCATGTAGACGGCACTGATGTTGTCGCAATACACCGGTGTGGAGTGCCGGAGAGGGGCATAGACGCCTGAAAGAGCAGTGAGCGAACGACATTATTGATGGAGCGAATAATGCGTTCGGCTTTACCATTTTGAGGCGAGGTGTAGGGGCAGGACATACGAAGATGGATGCCCTGGGTGAGGAAGAAGTGACGGGTGCTAGATTTGTCAAACTCTTTCCCGTTGTTGCACTGGACAGCCTTGACGTGGGCGCCAAATTGGGTGGAGGCGTGGGCGATGAAGTGGACAAGCGTACTGAAAGTGTCAGATTTGAGCCGCAAAGGAAAAGTCCACAAGAGTGAGTGCAATCATCAAGTATAACTAAATAGTATTTGTAACCAGAAACACTGTCAACTGGAGATGTCCACAAGTCACAATGAATAAGATCAAACTTGCTAGACGCACGAGAGGTGGACGAATGAAAGGGCAGACGAACATGACGCCCTAACTGACAAGCGTGACATAGATCTGAACAATCCTGAATGTGACAGGAAACAATAGACGCAAGCTTCGACAACGCCTCATGACCGGGGTGACCGAGACGCCGATACCACAGTGGGGAGGGAGCCTGAGCGACAAAGGAGTGTGCTAGAGGTAAGCGCAGTGGATAGAGCGGCCTGGAGCTATTGCACCTGACGATCTCGGTCCGAGATGGAAGAACCTTCACAGAACAACCAGCGGGGTCAAACTCAACAGAACAATTGTTGTCGATAGTGAATTGGCGAACATAGATGAGATTCTTAATAAGTTGTGGCGACACAAGGACATTATTAAGACGTAAAGTAGGGGATAACTCTGTGGAGCCAGTGGCAGTAACAGGAAGCATGGAACCATTATCGACAATAATAGATGAAGGAGTATGATACCGCGGGAATAGGACATGTGAAAGGGAGGATGACTGAGATGTCATATGTGAAGTAGCACCTGTGTCGAAGTACCACTCGTTGGATGAAGGAGGGGTCAGCGACGTCGTGCTGAAGGCGGAGGCGAGGGCCGTCGGGTCCCAAGAAGGGAGGCCGCCAGGATTGTAGTACCCGGCGACCCAACGTCTCCGAGCCATCGGGGGCAAGAACAAACAGTCAGCCGGTGGGCGACGGGTGCCTTCTTCTTCTTTGGGCGAGGAGAGGCTCTCTTCATTGTGCTGCAGATGAGGAGGCACCGGATGGGTGCCAATGGAGGACGAGACCCCCCGCCACATCTCGAATGGAGCCCATCCATGGGTTGTAGACGCCGGGCGGGCGACCACCGGCGACCGACCATTGCCGCTTCTTCTTCTGGCGCGCCAGAGGGAGGGCGGTGGCCTCCGGTGTTATTCTTGCCACTGTGGCCCCCTTTTCACCCGCATCGCCGCGCTGTGCTGCGGTGATTGCCGTTGAGGACTTAGGGCATAACGCCCGAGCCCGTGTTGGGCGTGGGTGAGGCAAAGACTGAGGAGCTGCTGCGGTGGAGGCAACGAGAGCAGTGGCAGGGGACTCCTTGTTCTCCAATGTGAGTTCCTCGAGGATGAGGTCATCACGAGCCTCCAGGAAGGTGGGGAAGGGCCGGTTGTGGCGTAGGAGGGCCCCGACGTGGCTGAAGCGCTCGTTGAGGCCACAGATCACGTTAAGGACGAGGGTGCGGTCGGTGATCACTTCGCCAAGAGCCGTGAGGTCGTTAGCCATCTTCTTCAGCCGGCGGCAGTAGTCGGTGACGGAGAGGTCGCCCTAGACGAAGTTGCGAAACTACGTGTCAAGGTGGATGGAGCGAGCCTCCCGGTTGCCGAGGAACTGTGACTCGACGGCGAGCCAGGCATGCTGGGCAGTGGAGCCCTGGGCGGAGATGATCTCGGCAAGGTTGTCGGTGAGCGTGGCGACGATCCAGGACTTGACGACGCAGTCCATCCAAGCCCAGTCAGGGGAGATCGGGGCCGGAGGTTCCTCGTAGACGTGGTCCTGAAGAGAAAACTTGCCGAGGATGAGTAGGAACTGATTGCGCCAGCGGTTGAAGTTGCCGGAGTCGACGTTGAGGACGGTGGTGAGTGGTTTTAGATGTTGTTAACGGCCTGGGCGTGCAGTTGCAGCAGTGCCATGGCCTCATGGAGGAGCATGGCTGAGGCGAGGTCGGGAGGAGACGTTGAAGATGTGCTGGAGGAGGCGCCGCCAGGTGCACCGGGGGCGGCGGCGGCGGCGGCGCGGCAACTTACTCCTTGGTTGCGCACAGGCCAGAGCCACTTGCAAGCGCGGGCAAAGAGCGTGTCACGCGATCTTTGACGGCGGCTGCAGCCTCCTCCTCGGCCTGGGCAGTGCGAGCCATTGCGGCCTGGCACTCCTTGTCGAGAAGTTGGGCGGCGGCGGCGGCGGCGTTCGCCTTCTCCTTGGCCTGGCGGGCCGCGATCTCTTCAGCGGTAACGTCCCTGGACTGGGAGGGCGGGGAGTGGGAGACATGATGCAGCGTCACAGGCGGGCCACCATGGCCTGCAGCGAAGGCAGGCCGCGCTGCAGGTGTGCAATGAAGGAAGACCTAAACCTAGGCGGCTGATACCATGAGAGCGAATAGGTCTCGGGAAATTGTGATAAATTGATATGGGTACAGGGAGTACATTATATAGGCAAGGATCAGGAAGGGTTTATAGAAACACCCAATCAACGGTGATCCTTGCCTAACCAATAATCATCTACCATAATCCCTAGAGGCAGCCCAGCCGATAGGCTTGGGCGTCAGGCCCATGGCCAGTCCATAAGGCGCCTATTCTAACAGATATGATGCCACCGGTGAGGAGGGGGGGGATGTGTAGCGAAGTGGACTCGGCGAGGAGCTGTCGTGATTGCCGGGGACAACATGGTCCAAGACAACTCGCGCTGCAACGGGGGAGTTTATTTCTTTGTATCCAGGCATCTACTAACATACCATAACAACTTAACCAACTAAACTAAATCTCCTCCCTCCTAATCTGATCTTCCCGCGCCCATGCTTGTTCAGTTTGCCACACTGGTTTCTGGAGCCGATAGACACGGCCAACAAATGTGTCCACAACATTTTTTCTAAATTCTTACATAGGTTCTCTGATCTGGTGATCCCTTCTGACTTTTGAAGTTAGGAACCAGTGTCTAGTTTTAGTTAAGAGTGAAAGTGACACTTTACGCCCCCTCCTTTTGTTTTACTTTCTTTCTGTGAGAAGATCCTTTTAGTCTGTGCTAGCTTAACAATACCCAGTGAGCTGTGTAGATGATTGAGTTACTACCCCAAAATTCACTGATGCATTTCTTCTTCTGCGAATCCCACTTTTATGTTTTAAGAGTCTGGTCAAGTGACATGACAACCCTCGGCATATCCTCAGATGATTCTGTTTGAGTTAAAGTGTTTTTCTGAATGTTAAACACAAAATTTCCTTGTTATGAGTTGTACTGCCTGATAGCCAGTGCATTAGTTGACAGTTTGACACAATACAGTGCAATTAGCACATTTGTAGGGCGCTGACATTCCATGTACATGCAGGTTGCTTTGAGTGATACAGGTATACCAAAAGTTAATGTTTCTGTTAATGCTGCATCTGACGAGGAGCCTGAAGTTGATGTAAGCGATGAGGAATTTCTGCAGTTCGACACCTCCAGTGTGCCTGTTATTATTACATTAACCAAGGTAATGTGTTTCTTACCCAACTCTTTATTCTTTGGTGTTGAGTATGAGTAGACATATGCTTTATTGATTGCATGATTGTTGTGTTCAAAGTGTTTAAAAGTGGTCCAATCTCTAGTGTATGTACCTTGAGAGTTTTGAGCTATCTAAGACTATGATACAAAATATTGAGTAGCTTCAATACTATTCATGTAACACTAGACTTAGACACCTCATAGTATCATCGTAGTATGAATTTGTGTACCAGTTGAATTCCCCTTCATTGACACGTGAAGAATATGACACTACCCAGCAAGCAATTGGGCACCACCAGCAACAAAAATTGCCCTAGGGCGCGTTTAGTTGGCCGGAATTTGGATGTGCAAAGTTTGCATAGTGCCAGATTCTCTACTGTAGCATTTCGTTTGTATTTGGTAATAATTGTCCAACCGTTGACTAATTAGGCTCAAAATGTTCGTCTCGTAAAGTACAACCAAACGGTGCAATTAGTTTTTAATTTCGTCTACTTTTAGTATTCCATGCATGTACCGCAAGTTTGATGTGACGGGGAATCTTCTTTTTACATAGTGCCAAAGTTGTGAATTTAGGAAGAACTAAACAAGGCCTATTATGCTTTTCTCCTGCAGTATCTATGTTTCACATAAAATTCAGTGCCCTGTACATGTTTCATATCATCATATGTCAGGTGGGTCGGCACTACATCGTTGACGCCAACTCAGAGGAAGAATCCCAGATGAGTTCAGCAGTGTCGGTATCAGTCAACAGGCATGGCCAGATATGCGGGCTTACCAAGAGGGGAGGTGCAGGGCTGGACCCAAGCGTCATCTTTGATATGATATCTGTCGCCAAGCATGTCAGCCATCAGTTCATCTCTCTCTTGGATTCAGAGATTGCTGCTGCCGAAGCTGAAGAGGCTGAGTGTTGAAAGGAAAAGGACCGGGGAAGAGGCTCTGGTTGTGCAAATGCTCGTGTGTTCTAACTTCAACCTTGGGAGCTGCTTAGAAGAGAAGACGATTTGCTGTAGAAATGTTCAGGAATTTGGTTCAATCTTTATGCTATTAGTAAATACTGAAGATTTGGATCCTGGAAAATCAGCCTCTTCGCTTGATCGTATTTGGCTTATAAGTCATGGCTTATCAGCCAATGAACAATATTTTTCTCTCATACCAAACCAACAAACAGTATTTTCAGCCATGGATTATAAGTCAAACCAGTCCCAACGAACAGGACGAATAGCTTCACGAACAGTGTCGTGTTGGCTTTTGTTGGGCTCAGAGGAACATGCACAAGGCTGGATCTTGGGTCTGATGATCTGATCCCCCTGTGTCCCCAGTCTGATGATGAATTTGGCGCCTCTCACCGTACCAAATACTACGGATCTCCTCCGTCTTCAAACAATTTCACACGCAATTTTTGAATCCGATTTCCACATACTATTGCATTGTGTGTGGCATGAATAAGTGAATAGCAATAATCTTCCATCGACATGTGAAATGCTGATGACTTCATCGATGGGTTGAGCTGAGTATAACATGAATAAAGAAACCGTATGAGTGCATGCTAATGCTTAGATCATCTTTAAGATTCTTTTTTAAACCCACTCTCTAAATTATCATTTGGAAAGTCATTTAAATAAAATCCGCCCTCTATATCTTTTTCCCCTAACTTCTCCATTTTAGCTAGCGAGAAACCTATAATAGATAATAGCTATATTTCATACTTGGAGATCCAAATAAAGGAGATGTTAGAGAGTAATTTTTCATCAAAAACTCTATTTCTATCGATTGGAAAGGATATAAAAAGGCTCCGGGAGTTGTTCTCATTATTTTTAGGTTGTTGCCTATTCACCCTTCTAAGCATTGATGACCATTTCAGACACGAAAAAGAAAAATGTTACAGATTTAGGAGAAAAATTCTCATGACATATTCATCTATGTGAATAAATTAATAAAATTAATTAGAACACAAATTTAAAACGACCCCTACGCCAGTTAGTGACAAAAAAGAGAGGAGAAAAGCAAAAGAAAAAAAAAAGAAAAAGAGAAATGAGACCAATAGCCATGGAAGAACTGCTCTCCACCTCCTGCCTTTACACCTCTTTCTTCTCCCGTTCCCGTTGGCGGCGGTTGGCCTCGCCTGGCCCGACTCGCGAGAGCTGTACACGCCGCCGCCCCATTCCCAGCTGCCCTTGGCGACCGCCGCCGCCGGCCGCCCTACTACTCCCAGCTGCTCAGGTCCTCCTCGGAGCTCGGACGCTTTGCCGGCGAGCACCCACTACACCAGGTATCCGGTATGCCCGCCCCCCCTCTCTTCTCCTGTGCGAAATTGAGCACCCCAGCCCTAATTTAACCTATTTGCCTATCTTTATGTATTCGGATCTGATCTAATCACAAGTGTAAGTGTATGCATTCGTTTTCTCTTAGCAAAAGTTATCGGGTGTACATCGGCTGTACACTCATGTTCTTTATCTGTTTTAAATTATGTATGTAGTAAAACCGTCGGCTGTTTTCTTGAAATGGAACTTCTTTCCTTTTATGTACCCGCAGATAGCTTGTATCCTGTACTGTACGTCACAGCTTGAGTATTTAACCGTTCCTTTGTCTTGCTAGGACCACATGAATGGATCATATACTAGCTCGATAAGCCTCCATGATGTCAGTGTCGACGATGGACAGTCCGCTCTTGATAACAGCAGCAGAGCTTCTAGTCCTTTTGATATCCTGACTCCTCAAGGTACAGCCCTGTGCTCTGTTTTGTTGTATTCTTTTTCATCCTCCCTCCCACGATTGTGCAGTTGTGCTGTAACGGTGTGTCCCCCTCGTTGCAGATGTTATCCCTATTGAAACGGCAAGGTCTAGATTCTTGGACCTCGTTGTTGATTATTTTATATGTGAGCATGTTATTGAGATGGTGGAATGCTCTGGCTCCGACTGCAGCCAGGTGGATGGTAAATCAAACAAGAGAAAGCAGCAGGAGGTTCGATATGAGGGTGACCCAAGGGTTGCTTTGCCATTGATGTATATTGCAAACTTGTACGAAACCTTGGTGAGTGATGTCAATGTGCGCCTTATGGGCGTTGATTGGGTTCCATGAGAAAACTATAGGTCTAGCTCTTGAAGCTTCAGGTGGCTTGTACAGGAAACTGACTCAGAGGTTCCCAAAGAGAGGTATGATGGCTAAACATAAATATTTAACCCATACATGATTTTCTGATGTTATGTTCTTAAATTTGATTCGATGTATATAGGCCACTGCAGCTTCAAGAGGAGGGAGTTAGCGACTTCTCATGCAACTAGGACAAAGTTTCCTGAACTTGTGGTACAAGAAGAAAAACGAGTTCGTTTTGTTGTAATTAATGGATTGGCGATCGTAGAGAGGCCAGAAAATATGAGAATGGAAGATGCGGAATGGTAAGACTTCTAATTCACACAATGTTCGCTGCTTAGCTTCCTTTGCTTGTAGCAAGATTGGCCTGGTGTCTGGGGCCAGTATCTGAAAACTCCTGTATTAACCCTTTCTACAATGATTGTATTTGTGTTAGCTCAATTTGTGATAGTGGGGGTGGTTCGAGCAAACAAATTCTTCTAGTGTTTGTGTTAGAGTACGTCGAGGGCCTATTAGGCTGGGTTGGCTATATATATAGCCCATTAGTGTTAGGGTTAATTAGAGATAAGGGTCGCTTACTTAAGGGTCAAGTAAGCCTTGCTTGGGAGTCAAGTAAACCTCTCTATATAAGGAGAGGCGATGTATCGATCTAATCAAGCAAAAATTAAAAAGGAAATCCCTTCCCTCTTGCTCGGCCGTGGGCAAGGCCCCCGGCCGGCCTCCAGCCTCCCCCGCATAACAGCCGCTGTGAACAGTACCCGCGGGTACTGTAGCACGGCAATCGCCGCCGCTCCCTTGACTCTGCCCTCCTGAACCCTAGCAGCCACATAACAGTTTGCATATTATTCTCAAAATTGCATATTCTTGTATCACATGCTACACTGTCAACATTCCATATTGACAGACCAATTGTTACCTTGGACGGTACAAAATTCTGCCCCCCCCCCCAAAAAAAAAATCTAAGGTAAAATGTGGATAATTCTATATCACATTGAAAGCTATCTGCCTCCAAAGGGAAGGGGCATAACTATGACAATCTATAGAATCGATTTCTTTGTTAAAGGCCATTCATTGAAAATAGATTGACATGGTGTCTGCACCCGTAATATTTGAAATTTAGTTTAGGATGAATTTACCATAAGAATTCAGAAAACTGTCAATAAAATGAAACCTTAAGTACAGTGAATTCGATTACAGTTTCCTAGAAAAACCTCTGTTTATTTTTTTATGCCATTGCTTGTTCTTTTGGTCGCATAAACCCTCTGATATGTACTAATGACTTTGTTTTCCTTTTTTATATTGCAACAAAAAATGTCAAGGTTCAAAAGATTGACTGGTCGAAGTGAAGTTGCTATTTGCTCAAGAGATTATAAATTCTATTCACCCCGGCATAAGATCAGGCGCTCCCCGCAGGCAGCATTTGACATCCCTGGTACAAGTGTAAGTTGCATACTGGGCTTCAGAGAATGTAAAAATGCAGCCAAAATAGGTAATATACTTGCTTCAATATATTGTTATTAACCCTCTATGATTTGTCTAGGCTTTGGCAGAGGATGAGAACTCTTCATTGGTTTGTTCTTCAGGATTCCGCTCACCAAATGAGGTAACTTTATGTTTTTGCGTTCGCTCATGGTAATAACAAGTAGCTACATGCATATGCAAATGATTTTGCCTGCTGCCCTCCTGGTTCTTCAGCTCTTATTAGCTTATTCTTGTTGTGGCATCATCAAGTAAATTCTTATATAAAGTGACAGTAGTAGGTGCCTTGATCTTGTTTAGCTACTAATCCAATCCAACTCACTGACTAATACATAGCTTGCTCTGTTCCAGATACAAAATCAGCATCAGTCAACATCAAAGAGACCTATCGAACATCTAGAAAATCAACCTTTTTTACACCTTTTCCATCAAGCAGAGGATGATAGCATGCAGCAAGTTCAACATTGTACTCAGTTCCCACCCATTCACCAATGTACGAGCACTCCACATCTATCAGTATCAGATAATCCCCAACACCAGCAGCAGGCTTATTTATCTCAGCATATATCTTGCTTGCAAGTTGGGCAAGGTCATCTTGGAGGACGCATGCATATTATTGTGAGTAACCTTTTTCATTAGCATTGGCAACAACTGCATGGTGCCACATTTATCAATTCCTTCGTCCTTTTTTTGAGTATCATGATTTGCACTTGAACTTTATTTTCTCACAAAGAGTCATATTGGCTTGGGCTTGGAGATGAATCTTGTATTTACCTGCTATGGCTCAAGTACTGAACAAAAGATTAGCAATTGAGCATAAGTTGCACTGTCCACAATCCTCATTGTGCTGCATCCCATTGTTGCAGGAGTTGCAGTAGATTCATAGCTGTATTACCGTGCTAGCTAATGCTTACCTTATTTATTCATTGCCTTGATGGTATCTTTTCGATTTCAGCCAACCAGCCCAGCGAAGTTCTGCGATGAGTGTGGCTCCCCATATTTAAGGGTGACATCGAAGTTCTGCTCAGAGTGTGGTACCAAGAGGCTAGGGATGTGACTTGGTCAATGTGTATACAAGTCTGATGTAGTAGTGTTGTAGTCTTATGTTTGATATAGTTAGTGCACCTTGAAGCTGTGTGGGAAGTGTATCTTTGAGATGACTCAATAGATAGTATGCAGCCACCTTTACTAACCATTTGCATTGCAGCCTCTAGCATCTGTAGTTTTTACCTTTACTTGAGCTCCCATCATTCTCCATTTCTTCATAAGAGTTTTACGTAGTATTTGGGTCTTATGGTTGCATTCATCTTAATTTGATAATTTCTGATGGTTTTTAAAGCGCAAGGTCAGGAATAAATTTCATCAAATCCTTTTGAAGATGGTAGATCTGTTTTGCATCCTCCTTTGAGGTTTGCAGTTGAGTGTGAATGTATCATCCCTCATTTTGCAGGCCGGCCTCTTTCAGTTTCAGTGCCTGCCACAAAGCTCCTTTGTTTACTTTTCACTTGTATAGAATAGAAACTATTATGAAGGTTTTTTTGGTACTTGCCACAGAGCTCCTTTGTTTACCGAAATGATTTGCTAGTTTTTGGCAGAAGAAATTAGGATTTGACTTGTATAAGAGCTGAGCAGTAGTGGACTGTTTGGTTTGCCACCTTTTATAACCTTAGTATTGTCACATTCTGCAGAGTACCACTAGTATGCAGATACTGTTGACACAAGCTTCTCTCTCTAGACTAGATTGCTTGCTAAAAGCAAGGAAAAAAAAAGCTTCTCTCTCTAGACTAGAATTGCTTGCTAAAGAGAAAAAATAGGACGGCAAAAGATACAAAATAGGACGGCGAACTATCAGGAGTCTTGTTGGAGGTGGACATGGAGGCTTTTATTTACAGAGAGTCGTGCTCGAGCCGTGTGGAACTCGACTGACCGGATTGTTGATGGAGATGTTGTCTTTGGACTAATAAATAAATAAATGTAGTCGCCCTGGCAGCTTCTACTTGTAATGTACTGGTATTTCGGTAATAAAAAATTCTTAGCTCGTTTAATATTGATTGATTGATGGGGCACCGACAAGAGAAACAAAGGCCGGCAGAGATTCTTGACTTTGAACTGTTGCGTTGAGGCTTGCCAGTACGCATCATTCCATTCCATCTCTTAAACAACCTGGAGGAGTACCTAATAATGCATACTTTCTTTTTCTCTGGGCTGCTGTTCCCTGATTTTGCATTGATTTTGTATGGATGGGCAGATTCTTGTTTGTAGTTGAATATCATTATGTACTGTACAAACATCAAGCTATGGATGGATCTAGATATTCATTGATTTTGTATGGAAGTTTTCAGCCTGTTCGTTTCATCGTCGTGGATTATTTACTGCTGGCTGGTTTGGTGTGAGAGAAAAATACTATTCTAGCTTATAATCCACGATCGTATAAGCCCAGCCGAACAGACTTTTTGTTTTAACTAAATACCTTGACCCTACTCATTGCTTTATTAGTATCGATTTACCAAATGACTCTATCCATTCCCTTGTGTACCAAAATTCCTTGACCCTTGTGTTATATTCTTTCCTCAAAATTTGCTGGTGAACATGGCCCCACCCCCACCATACATGGTTTTGCTGCTGTCCTCTGCCTTCCTCATGTTAGCTGTACACGCCTTGTCCTGGCCATGTAGCATGTAGCACACCAGAACTTGTCTGTTTTTTAAGAGATTGTTCATTTCACCAGAACTTTGTTAGCTGTATACTGAGCCCTACTATCTCTTTCTAAAATTTATCCAGTTGTCGTGCCACCTCAAAAGTTGTTTAACATAATCTGCAGTCCAAGTGATAACATAACATTAACATCCCTGCTGGTGATCGACATCACTAATAAAAAACAAACAGGATCCTGTTCGGCTAGCTAAAAAACGGCTGATACTGATGCTGATTTGTTGTGAAAGAAAAACACTGTTATTTCGCTGAAACGGTACGACCGATAAGCGAACGGGGCCCAATTCACTAGGGTCATGATTCTTGAATGTGAAGAAGGTTGTAATTATTGTTGGTACAAGCATGATAAGCTAAGAGCAAGTTTTCACTCCAAAGACAAAACCACTTCACCAGTACATCAATTCATATCAATCTACAGTGCTCATTTATTTATGTACTAGTATGTTTTTTTTATTTATACACAAATCTTATAATAAATTTCTTATTTTATTACAAATCGGTCCCGCCACCAACAAAGCACTCACTTCCCGTCTGAAGCTTTGCCTTCCATGGCGTCGGCCGATTCAGCTGAGTTGGCTCTGGCTCGGCGATTCGCCACCTGACGTGCCCTGGCAATCCCCGCCGTTTCTCCACTTCTTGCCAAAAATAACGCACCTACCATACCAGGTCGCCGGCATCAGGGATCATCATTGATCTCGTCGCATCGAAGCTGAGCCGTTCGTGACAGCGACAGATCCAAAAGCTAGGCTTTTGTAGCTTCTTCCTTCCTTCCTTTCCTTGTTGCATTTGGAAGGAAGGTGGAGGTCTCCTTTTGACAGCAACAGCAACAGGGAGGGGAGGAAGGTGGTGGCCGGCGAGGTGGTGGCATTCGCTGTCGCCGCCACGTTTAGGCTCAATCGCCTTTCTCTTCCTCTTCCTCCTTCCTGCTTGCGCCCCACAACCTTCGTTCCCCACCTACAGTAAGGTATGGCAATCCATCCCCCCCCCCCCCCCTTTTTTTTTCCCAATTTTGTTTTCCGTCATATTTTCTCTTCTGTTTCTACATCTTTTCTATTTCAGCTCCGTGTCGATTGTTGTTCAAGCAAGCCCCTTCTCCCTCTTCCCCCTTGATCTGATTAGATTGGGATAGATGATTCTCGCCTCTTTCTTTCCTGGACCTGATCAATATGATTTTGCTATGCTTCCATGAATGATCCAAGGATTTTTTTTATGAAGCATTCTTGCATTAATTTCCTGTATGTACCTGACGGTGTCAACTCTCAAAGAGGAAAAAAAAAACGATTTCTTCTGCAAAATCAGCGTCCCCAATCAATAATTGATTAATTACTACTGGCAGTAAATTCCATGAATGAAACCAACCAGAGACCTTTTCATCTTGGCTGATCCGTGCAGAGCCTCCGAGCTCTTGCTTATTTGGAAACCAATACTGCAAAGAATCAGTGATTTTATCGCCAGATTCTGCTACTGTCTGCTTGAAATGATGGATTCCGTTCAAATCAGCAAGCTTTCTGCCCGCGTGCTAATGAAATTTTTTACTTTTTCAGGGGCCTGATACCTCTGGGCAAGCAGGGGGGGCCTCCATGGCGGCGGTGCTCGACTCCTTCGTCAAGCGATGCATAGAGTCACTGGAAAACTTCGCCGGCCAGGAGGCCTGCGCTGCCCTCGGCATCGGGGACGACGTCAGGGGCCTCCTGGCCACGCTGTCGCGCATCGACGCCATCATCTCCCATGAGGAGCGGAGGAGGGTCCTTAGCGCCAAAGCTGATGCGTGGGTGGTGCAGGTGAAAGACGCCATGTATGAGATTGACGACGTCATCGATGTCTGCATGATCGAGGGTGCAAAGATCCTCGCTGATGACCGCCCACCCACGCCAAAGGTCCGATGCTTCTCCTGCTTCAAGCCTTCAGGGCCTCGGAAGTTCCGCCATGAGATCGGCTTCACCATTAGGGACATTGATCTCAGGCTCAGGGAGGTAGAGGAGGAAATGCCTAGGCTTCCTGCTGGATCAGTTCACTCTGATGCAAAAAGGGACTCGTTCAGCCATAATGTCTGTAAGAACTGTTCTGACGCCATGAAGCCCCAAGCAGTTGGGTCGCAGGTCCAGAAGGCTGTGGGTGGCCTTGTGCCAAGGATGCTTAGAGAGGGCAAGAAGAAGGTGGATGTGTTCGCCATCGTTGGTGCGGTGGGGATTGGCAAGACTATGCTTGCTACGGAGATCTACAATGATGACAGGGTGACTGAAAATTTCCCCATTTGTGTGTGGGTCGACATGTCCAAGGATTTATCGGAACTAGATTTCCTCAAAATGATCATCAGGGGTGCTGGTGCCAATGTTGGGGATACAGAAAACAAGGAGGAACTCCTCATCCTCCTCGGTTCTGCCCTTTCAAAAAGGTTTCTCCTTGTCCTGGATGACTTGGACAGCCCGAGCATATGGGACAATCTGCTCAAAGATCTGTTGGGAGATGGTGTCGCCAGAGGAAGAATACTGATCACAACTCGGAATGAGGAAGTGGCGGCAAGCATGAAGGCAACTATCCACCGTGTTGACAAAATGGACCCCGAGAATGCCTGGGCATTATTGTGCAAACAAGTTGATCCAGAATGCAATTTGGAAGAGCTTGCAACATTAAAGGATGTTGGGATTAAGATCGCAGAGAAATGTGATGGCCATCCTCTAGCAATCAAGGTCATTGCAGGTGTCCTAAGGTCAAGAGGCAACAGCAAGGCTGAATGGGAGATGGTTCTGAATCATGATTCTTGGTTCATTAGCCCGGTCCTTCCAGAAGTACCACAAGCTGTGTATGTGAGTTATGTTGACCTGCCTTCTCAGCTGAAGGAGTGTTTCCTCCATTGCTCTCTGTATCCAGAAGAATACCCTATTCAGCGCTTTGATCTTGTGCGGCGTTGGATTGCTGAAGGAATTGTAAATGCCAGAGACAACAAACTGCTCAAGAATCAGCTGAAGAGTGCTTTGTAGAATTGATAAGCAGAAACCTGCTACAGCCTGATCCAGAAAGTGTTGAGCGATGCTGGATAACACACCATCTTCTCCGCTCACTAGCCCACCTTTTGATAGCAGATGAGAGTATCTTAATTTATAGTCAGCAGAAATTGAACACCTCATTGTCAAAGCCCCGCATCTCACATTGTGTAACATTGAAAACAGCTTGGGCGGTCCGATTTCACTGAAGCAGCAGATGAGCTTAAGGTCACTGATGCTCTTCAAAAGCCCAACTGTCAGAGCAATTGATCCTCTCATCGAGTCAGCTTCATGCTTGCGTGTATTAGATTTGAGCAATACAGCAGTGGAGGCCCTCCCGAAATCCATTGGCAACTTGGTACATTTAAGGTACCTCAATCTTGATGGAACTCAGGTCAGAGACATACCTTCTTCCATTGGATTTCTCATAAACTTGCAGACCTTGAGCCTTCAAGGTTGCCAAAGCTTACAGAGACTTCCTTGGTCCATCAGGGCATTGCTAGAGCTTAGATGCCTTTGTCTCGAGGGAACTTCCCTAAGCTATGTACCAAAGGGTGTTGGTGAATTGAAGCATCTCAATCATCTGGATGGTCTAATCATCGGTCATGATAACAATGCTCCTGAGGGTTGTGACTTAGATGACCTTAAAGCTTTGTCAGAACTAAGGCACCTTCATGTAGAGAGTTTGGACAGGGCTATTTCTGGTGCTGCTGCACTCGCAAACAAGTCATTCCTAAAGGACCTGTACCTCTCTGAGCAAGCCCCAGCAATAGAAAACCAGGAGAGTCTGGAGGAAGAAGATGAAACAGAAAAAGAAGAGAAGGAAGAGCAGGAAGGAAGCAATGACCAATGCAGGGGAGATGAATCAGCCAAAGCTAGTGAAAAGATATGGGATGAGCTCACCCCACCCATTAGCATCGAGAAGCTGGTAATCAAGAACTACAAAGGTGTAAAGTTTCCGAATTGGATAAGAGGTCCCAAGCTAGGAGCCTCCTTCCCCAGCCTTGTGTTTTTGGATCTTGAAAACTGCATGGCATGCACTAAACTGCCTTCACTTGGCCTCCTGAGTCAACTCCAGTCCCTGCAAATCTCAAATGCGGACTCAGTCATCACCATTGGTTCAGAATTCCTTGGGACCACTGTACTTTCACCAGCCACTTCATTTCCCAAGCTTGAGGTTTTAAAGCTCAGAAACATGAAGAAACTTGAAGAGTGGTATTTAACTGTGGAGGAGAACCAGGTACTGTTTCCTTGTTTGAAGTCACTGCAGATACAGTGGTGCCCTAAACTGAAAGCTCTACCAGAAGGCCTGAAGCATGTAGCGCTGTGTGAACTTCATGTGGAGGGTGCACATAGCCTAACTGAAATCAAGGACCTGCCAAAACTATCTGATGAGCTCCATCTCAAAGATAACAAGGTGCTCCAGAGGATCTCCAACCTGCCCATGCTTCATTCCCTCATTATTGATGACTGCTCAAAGCTGAAGCATGTGGCAGGTCTTGATGCGCTGCAGCGCCTCAGACTTGTGTTTCCTCCGTCCACCGAGACATTTTATTTCGAAGAGCTAATAATTTTCTGGAGCATTGCCTTCCCACGGTGGCTGGAGCTACTGATTCAAAAGTGCAAAGGCCTGAGACGGTTCGAGTTGCAGTGCGGTCTGTCATTGCTCAGGAGCTGCCTCAACAGTGGCAAGAACTGGCACCTCGTGCAGCAGGTCCCTGAGGTGCGCATCATAAGCTGTGATGGCAAGAGGTATTTTCGGTATAACAAGAGTCGTCGCATTTACGAAACTAATGCACAGTCAGAAGAATGAAGCCATTCAGAAAATCTTGGCGTGGTATGTTCCTTACACCCTTCACAATATTCTCATCCTGTATAAATGATCACATTATGTGTTTATGGTAATAACAACAGCTTACACGTGCTTGTGTTCGTTTATCTTGCAGACACTGGTTTGTTTTGGGTCAGCCACGCGTTTCAGTTGTCGTTGTCCTTTGTTCCGGGAGTTTGTGTTTATATTGAGAGCTTGTATTTTGTTCACGATTGATTCAGGAGTTTTCCTCTGTTTTGCGTGATTTCTCTTTTTATCACTCTACCGGTATATGCATTCGTTCTCCGGTGGATCAATGGAGATGCTCACGTTTTCGTTACCTCTGAATATGGGTATCCTTCACCAGGACTCAATATGTATGATTCTTTTCTGTTTCCTGGTTATGATGGTCTGTAAATTGTAAACATTGGGTTTGATGGATTTTGACTTTGGAGTGCAAAGTATTGGCAGTTAAATACACAGCCTTTTTTCCTGGCTCAAAAAATGATACTTGTGTTTTACAGTTAACTAGTCAATGTAAATGCTGCTAGCAGAATATACAAGACAACACGCTTCGTAATTGATATCTCTGTAAGCTACAGTGGAAAAAAAATCAGAAGCAAAATTATTGCGTCCATAATCTGCAGAAAGTTGGATTAAAATTCTTGAAGTTACAGCATGGCAGCTGCGACTGGAACTTTAGCCAAATGTGCGTCAAAATGCACTCCTATAGGTCAGGTTCAATTGAAATCCGCCCCAATCTTGAATCCAGCTACTGAAAATCTGGAATCAAATCAGAGCGTTGCCCGGAGTATTAACCATGAGATCTGTGTTGTGATCAGGATTCAGGATGAGTACGTTGCCATATGTAGTAAGTTATACAAATCTGACATCTTTGACTGTTAAGTGTTCCAAGGAGATTAATCTGCACTCTAATTTCTTGTAATCTTAAACAACTCAAGTCCCTTTCCGTTTTTAGTGTCGTATATTCAAATGGAAAAGTCATGCTAAGAAATCCATCCAAGGAATAAGGAATCTTGCAGGGATACGCCGTTCATTGGTGTTCAATCATGCCTTTCTTGCCTTGCATGTTTCTTCAGCATAACTTCTCCCAAGCAAATCAATGTGCTTTCTCCCCTGTGCGCCATCTCCCATTTCATTTGCCAGCTGGCGTCCACACAAAGAAAACTCTGCCAATAGGCCAAAGTTTTGTTTCATCATGCTCCCTTCCTTCTATAAATTGTTGCCCATGGACACCCAGCTAGTCACAGCTTCACAGCATTCTTTTTCCTCCATACAGAAACCATAACATTCTTCTCCACCTTGTTTCTTTCCAAGCCACCATGGCCTCCAAGCTGAGTTTCAAGAGGGCAGACAGCATCGCGGAAAGCATGCCCGATGCGCTAAGGCAGAGCCGGTACCAGATGAAGAAATGCTTCCAGAGGTAAACTTAACTTAGTAGGCATCATCTATGAATTCACAGGGTTCTCATTTGCAGTTCTAAAAACAATAATATGTCAGGTATGTTTCCAAGGGAAAGAGGCTCTTGAAGAACCAGCAGCTCATAGAGGAGCTGGAGAAATCCCTGGATGACAAAGTCGAGAAGGAAAAGCTTGTTGAAGGCTTCCTAGGTTACATTATTTGTTCCACGCAGGTGATCTCATCTCACCTTAACATCTTTTGCAGCAAACATTAAACCTGTATTAACAAAACTCACATAACTCTTATCTCTGCAGGAAGCAGTGGTGCTACCACCTTATGTTGCATTTGCTGTCAGGATGAATCCTGGCATCTGGGAGTATGTCAAAGTTCATTCTGATGATCTGTCAGTCGAAGGAATCACACCGTCTGAGTACCTCAAGTTCAAGGAGACATTATATGATGAGAACTGGTCTGCATTCTTCACCAATCAAATACTACTAGGAGCCTTTACACTTACCACAGATGTGTTGATGCCAACTGAAAAATGTGTGTTCTTTATCTCACCACTTTCAGGGCCAAGGATGACAACTCACTGGAAGTCGATTTCGGTGCTCTGGACCTCTCAACACCCCATCTGACACTGCCATCGTCCATAGGAAACGGGCTCCAGTTTGTGTCCAAATTCATGTCTTCGAAGCTGGGCGACAAGCCTGAAACTAGCATGAAACCGTTGCTGGACTATTTGCGTTCGCTAAACTACCGTGGCGAGGTAAGGCAATGGCAATCTAGTCACCTATCCATGTTGCATATATTGACAGAAGTTTAAAAATAAGCAACCGAGCGAACCTAACTATATCCTGATCATCTGATGAACATGCAGAAGCTGATGGTTAACGATACCATCGATACAGTGAACAAGCTTCAGACAGCGCTGCTACTTGCAGAGGTATTTGTCAGCGGGTTACCAAGATACACGCCATTCCTGAAGTTTGAACAGAGGTGATACACTTACTATCTCAAGGAGATAAAAACTGTTTATGCAGATACCAGATATGCATTATACCTAAGGTTTCTGAACAAAACGCTGTTTTCAGGTTTCAAGAGTGGGGATTGGAGAAAGGGTGGGGTGAAAATGCTGAAAGGTGCAAAGAGACGCTGAATTGCCTCTCTGAAGTGCTACAAGCGCCGGACCCTATCAACATGGAGAAGTTCTTCAGCAGAGTTCCATCCACATTCAACATAGTCATCTTCTCCATCCACGGCTACTTTGGCCAAGAGAAGGTTCTTGGCTTGCCAGACACCGGTGGCCAGGTGGTCTACATCCTGGACCAAGTCAGGGCCCTTGAAGAGGAGTTGCTGCAAAGAATCAAGCTGCAGGGTCTGAACGTGACACCAAAGATTCTTGTGGTAAAGTTAACTACGTCATGATCTTGGCCATTCGTGATTCATATCTGCTCAGTGCTCACTTTATATATGTAGATCAAATGCCCTAATGGCTGTTAATTTTGTTCATGCAGCTGACTAGGCTGATACCAGATGCCAAGGGTACAAAATGCAATGTGGAGCTCGAGCCAGTTGAAAACACAAAACATTCCCACATACTTCGTGTGCCATTCAAGACTGAAGACGGCAAGGAGTTGCGCCAGTGGGTGTCCCGGTTTGACATCTACCCTTACCTAGAGAGATATGCCCAGGTTTGCCAACTATCACTTCTTACTCCTATATATGTGGGATATAATATTTGAATAGGTGGCTTGCTCTGCTCACCATGTCACCGTGGTAATTTCAGGATTCGTGTGCCAAAATTCTTGACATTTTGGAGGGCAAGCCAGACCTGATCATCGGCAACTATACCGATGGCAACTTAGTGGCATCTCTCATGTCAAGCAAGCTAGGGGTCACTCAGGTGAAATTATTGGTCATCAAGTAGAGTCTTGAAAGATTATTTTTTTTGCTACCAACAAAAATTTGGTATGACAAAGAAAATGATCTTATTGACAGGGAACAATCGCGCACGCTCTAGAGAAGACAAAGTATGAAGATTCAGATGTCAAGTGGAGAGATCTGGACCAGAAGTACCATTTCTCCTGCCAATTCACTGCAGATATGATTGCCATGAACACTAGTGACTTTATCATCACTAGCACATACCAAGAAATTGCTGGAAGGTTCGTAGAATGTATCTACCTGTAACTTCAGTACAATGACAAGTAACAACTACTTAATCCTAGAGGCCTAAAACATGCATGAACATGTGATGCAGCAAAGAGAAGCCTGGCCAATATGAGCACCACTACGCATTCACAATGCCGGGGCTCTGTCGCTACGCCACAGGCATCAATGTCTTTGATCCAAAGTTCAACATTGCCGCACCCGGTGCAGACCAGTCCATCTACTTCCCCCTTCACACAGAAGCAGAAGCGGCTGACAGATTTGCACCCACAGATTGAGGAGTTGCTCTACAGCAAGCAGGACACCAATGAACACATGTAAGTTTTTCCTTTCATGAAAAACACACACAGACTCTTATTCATAGGACAAGTTTGCTAACTGCTTTGATGCCATCAAATCAGAGGGTATCTGGCAGACAGAAACAAGCCAATCATCTTCTCGATGGCAAGGCTGGACAAGGTGAAGAACATCACTGGACTAGTGGAGTGGTATGGCCAGAACAAGAGACTGAGGGACCTGGTAAACCTTGTCGTCGTTGCGGGCCTGCTGGAAGCATCGCAGTCCAAGGACCGGGAAGAGATTGAAGAAATCAACAAGATGCATAGTCTGATTGACAAGTATCAGCTGAAAGGACAGATTCGCTGGATCAAGGCACAGACTGATCGTGTCCGCAATGGTGAGCTCTACCGTTGCATTGCAGATACAAAGGGTGCATTTGTTCAGGTATGCAATGACCGGCTTCTAAGCTGTTTGATCATGAGAATTTTTTTCTGAAAGTTGCAGAGAATGGAACTCAACTCTAACCGTAAAATGCAATGCCTGCTGTGGTTTCAGCCTGCACTTTATGAAGCATTCGGGCTGACGGTCATTGAGGCGATGAACTGCGGATTGACAACCTTTGCGACAAATCAGGGAGGGCCAGCGGAGATCATTGTGGACGGTGTCTCCGGTTTCCACATAAACCCAATGAATGGCAGGGAGGCTAGCAACAAGATTGCCGATTTCTTCCAAAAGTGCCAGGAAGACCCAAGCTATTGGAACAAGGTGTCCACTGCTGGGCTCCAGCGCATCTACGAATGGTAGGTGCCATACCATAACATGATTGACCTTACCTCTTGATGAGAAAGGAAAGCTAAACATATGTTGTTTGCTCGGCAGCTACACATGGAAGATTTATGCAACTAAAGTCCTGAATATGGGTTCAACGTATGGCTTCTGGAAGACTCTGAACAAGGAGGAGAGAGTAGCCAAACAGCGCTACCTGCAGATGTTCTACAATCTTCAGTTCAGGAATCTGGTGAGTTGATAATGAATTTGGTTATCAGACGCAACAGCTGCAATCATCAAGGTTGCGGTAAAACGATGTCTGATGAATGATGTTGTATATCATCCATGCAGGCAAAGACTGTCCCTAGGTTGTTTGAACATCCTCCGCAAGCCCCAGCAGGCGCAGGGCCTAGTACAATGACAGTAACGAGGCCGAAAGAAAGGCAAGTGTGCCCACTCTTAAGAACTTTACTGAAGAGAGACCGGGGAAGCAACTGACTGACCAATTTGTTGTTTAACAATTCCAAATCTGGTTGCTGCAGAAAGCCACAGACTAGGATTCAGAGGTGAGGCTTCTTGCCAACCTAGCGATAATTAGACAAGTGTACGCTGCTTACTGATTCTTCAATGCCTGCTCCTTGTTTTGTTGTCAGGATCATGACCAGCTTGATGGGGCAGAAGTCTTCTACTTCTCAACAATAGAGCCAAAGAGATGTGATGGATATGCATGATCTCCTGAAGCCAAGGTCCTGGCGGCTGCACATATTCATTCCATTGATACCGGACCAGATCAGTGTATATTGTCAAGTGATTGTTGTGTATGCATGTGTGGTTTTCATTTGTTGACTATTGATTGGAGAGATGGATGGTGTAAAGAGAGTGAAAGTGTACATGGTTACAGTTGATAATAATATATGAGAAGGATTGAGAATGCTGTGTCAAAATAATGTGCTGCACCCCAGATAGCAAGCAAATTTTTGAAAATCCAAATACAAGTCACAAACTGACAACTACAACCCAGAAGCCACAGTTCGAAAAGGACGTTCTGAAATATGTGAATGGCACATCACAAGAGGAAAATGATATGATCCGAAACATAATAGTCTCAAAATAACATATGGGATCCCTCCAGTACAAGCAGGGCCTAGGGCAGATCCGCTCTGGCCGGACTTCTTCAAACAAACACTAAGCAAATGCACTGAGACACAGCGTCTTTGAACACGGTTTGCTAATAGCAAGCAGATTATTACTGACCAAACAAACTACAACACCAAGCAAATCAAATTTCAGGCAGGCTGCCTGCTTATCTTGTTAGGAGTCATGCAATCAAAGCATCGCCTCTACTGCTTGTAGACACAGGCTCCGGTTCATCAGCAGTAGAACATGACGTTCTTGACACTGTCCTTGAGCGCGGGAAGGGGCCTAACAACTCCGGCGTTGGCGGCACGGGTACTGCGGGATGTCGACGAGTTGGACGGCGCTCCGCCTCCACGGGCGCCACTCGCCAGTGATCCACTGTCTGAGCTGTCAGGCTCCATGTAGAACCGGGCGCGGAATGCAGCCAGATGAGCGTAGTAGGCTGGTGGGACTGCAAGGCATATATGCATTTTGGTTTATTTGTTGCTCCCCCCATCAATTCAGTAATGCATAACTCTGATTAATTCAACTCCCTTTCAGAAAAACCGAGACAACTTACCAATGGATACAGAACGTGTGCACCTCGCGTAACTGCACCAGCAATTTGACAAGTTATTAGTACACAGATCAGGGACTCGCACCTCTTTAAGCAGCTGAGACACAGTTGAGATAGATGAACTGTATAGGAAGTATAAGAGTGGCCAGGCAGAGAAGCTTACGTGTAGCAAAGGTTGTTGGTAAGGGTCTGCAATGCATCAGCTGTGAAGTTGTTTTCATCCCATAAGACATGGTAGTGAGCAGGACGGCTCGTGCCCTTGATGCCAGCATGGCTGCACAGGAAGAAGTCAAACTCTGTGGGGTGGCAGATCTTCGAGTCCACAACAGTACCTGCAATTTGACCCAAACCAAAACAAAGCCCAAAGGGTTCTCTAGTTAAGTTTCCAAAATACTGCAGCAGCATGTATATCATTTTCATTTCGAAAACAAGAATTAATACCCACCAGGAAGTATGTTCCCACTCCTGTCGACTGAATTCTGATCATTGTGGTTGTGTGCGAACAACCTCGTGTGGTGCCGTTTCTGGACCACGATGAAAGTCACCTGTGGTTGGTAATTTGCTTCCAGCGATGCACACGCCTAAGGCACACATTAACATCATCAACTATAACTTGCAAGCTGCAACAACCCTATCTGTGTCTCCAAAAGGAAAAGGAAAGAAGAAAGTTACCTTTCGGATTGCATCCAGTTCATGCAGTAGAACTTGGTAGAACTGCCTTCACACTCACACCATCCCTGTCAAAGGTAACCACATTAATTGGCCAACGCTTCGAGTAACTAGCCAGTTACAGCAGTTCAAATGCAAAGTCTTGTAAGAAATCACACGCACACACCTGTAGAATAGTATCCTCTGAGGCTTTTGACCAGTTGATCTTTTGAAGGATATAAGAAGCTCCCTGCAAATGTGGAGCTCAGCATGTATTACTTGTGCTCTAGGTAAAAGGACAAAAGGAGAGGGCCTTGCTGGCATACCTGATCATGCCACCACAAATGGTTCCTTTCTGAGGATCATGTGTGACCTTATACAGATCCTCTATTAACTCTTGCCTATGAGATTGAGCAGAAACTAAACCAGCATACTTTGTCACCTCAGGCCAATCTTGGGAAGCCACAACCTGCAGGGTTATACAAACAATGAAACAACTGTCAGTGTATGTGCGAACGAACAGTCACAAAACATGAGTCCAGTAGTTCAACTTACAGCAGCAATGGAAGGGCTGCTATCTTCACCAGGATGAGGATGGGTCACATCAGCACCAAATATGATGGTAGGCCTGTCAGTCACCAAAGGAATGCGTCTTGACACTGCATCAGCCAGCACTGTGTTCCTTCCTCCAACCTTTGAAAGCAAATAAAATTTTCTTTTCGGACTCGACAACTGAAAAAAATGCAAGACAGACAAAAGCATAGTCGATAGAAAACCAACCTTGACATTTATCTTCAGAGCGAGATTTGCCAGTATCTGTTTGTTCATCTTAAAAACTTGCTTTGCACAGCAGCACTGTGAAACTAATCCAAGGTCAATTTCACAGATACGCTTCAAATCACCTGAGACCAACACAGAGCATTAACACCAATCATGAGCACGGCAGCAGGAATAAATATAAGAGCCACACAGGGTTTTAAGTTCATGTACCATAAAGAGAACCGTTGTTATCAGGAAGTATTCCAATAAGCAAATCGAGTTCTCTGCGCTGTGGTCCGAGCATGTTCATTGCATCATGGAACCTGGCTTTCAGAGCTCTCTCCACTTTATCAGGATGTGCATATATAGGCGGAAGAACAGTCTCCAAGGCAAAGTCCTACAGAGCCACCTTATGTTGTTACTTCCATAAACCAGTAGATGGAGTGGATACTTATCATTTCAGAAATTGTTTTAAGAGATACTTGCCATTCCCGAGGCTTGGCACATGCGAGCAAGTTCACGACAGAATCCAACAGCAACGCTCTCTTGCACGTTTCGAGCAAAATTGACACAGATCCAGCTCCTCACTCTACCACCATTTACCATTTTCTAGATAAGGCAAAACGAAACTAAGTGGTAAATCTTGAGGCATAGTACATACATAGGTGTCTTATTAGCAAAGTATAAAGCTACTACTAATAGTTAGGCAAAAACACAGTGGAATTAATACAGTGGTTTTACTGATTGAACTACATTTTAACACAAGCCAAAAATTCGACTGGAGGATCAATAGCTGGAAAAACAATTATCTGAACATGAATGCCCAGCAAAACTCTAGTCATAGTGCGCTGTGAAGAGAAATTGATCAAGTGGACGGCATCTTAAAAAAATTTCATGTTTCTGAACAGAATAACTTATGCATACCATTTACTCATATAGATATAGCCAATATTTTTAACTATTTGATTATAAACATTTTTACAAAATACAAAATACTATTCAGAAAAATGTTTAGTACCTTGTTCATCATATTCCACTGCCCAACTCTAGGCAAGCAGTCCTTCTCTCTGCCAGTTTCATTATACTTTAGCTGCATCATAAGTACAATATAAAATGTTGAATATGTTGCAAGGAAATATGACTGATGTTAGTTATCAAACCCACAAACAAGAGTTGCCTCAATTTATAAAACAGGAGTTATGTTAATTATGACACAGAAGGGTGATACGAACAATAAAACATATTTCAAAAGCCACTGCTGCAACAAGAGTGGAGCGACCTTGGACCTCTTGCCCTTTATATTGATCTTTTTCTCTATATTTTATATATACATCCAGCAGGGGCTTCCCTTACTGTTTTTGCTAAAAGAAACATATGAGTGGGTCTCAACCTACCCGAGGAGCAGGTAAAATCCGTGCCTCAATTGAAGCCAAACGCTCACTGATCTTAATGCCAAACTCTTTAGCATAAGGATCCTCATGGTAAGAGTTATGATTCACCATCTGTAGGCACAGAAAATGAGGTTTTCATTTGCATAAGCATATGAAGTCACGAAGGAAAGGAGAACCCAAGTAGAACTGAAACAAGGGGGAGAAACATATTACCTGAATAATGTCACGCTCCCGATCATGTGGGCGCTGGCATGTCTCCTCTAAAAGAGCTCTTATCTGACCCTGGTTTAATCTCTTAGAGTACCTCTGTCCCTCTACTATTTTGCAGACCTGGGTAAACTCAAATTTTTAAGCACACATTAGAAACACAGGTTTTGCTATCAAAGGTTAGACAGGGATAAGTCAAAGTGTAGAGCTTTGCTAGAAAAGAGCAAGATCAGCAGCTATAGCCATTAAGCTTACCTCCATTGGAAGGTAATTTGGGTGCTGCTGATTGCCAACTTGCAGACAGGGCAGGTAGGTGTGCTGGATGGCAAAGCCATAGGTCTCTTGAAAATATTGTACAACCGACTTCAATGTGCCGCCTTGATCAACAGGAAAACTGTGGCAAATAACATCAGCTTCTTTTAGCAAATTGAAATATTATCCCAAGATTTTTTTTCCTCTGAATAAATTATCCAAAGAGGAAAAATGTAAACACGGGAGTGCATGAAGAACAAGGAATGGCCATACGTTAACTCCCGAGTTGCCAGAGATGTTAAACCAGCTATTCGATACTTCCGTCGCATGTTACCACGGTGGGTAACTTCCACCTTCACTCCTCTTAAGGCCTTCTTTATCTGAAATTGTGCACAAGAACACATAAATTAGTCATCAAAATATTAAGTAAAGTGACATACAAAAAGCAAAAGTTGCCATCTCAGATATGTAAGACAAAATGAAACTGCTGAGACCAATATTAAGAACTGGAAAGTGGGAACATATGTGACAAATAATAGTCTATTTCCAAGAAGCAGTGTGCTAGACATTTGTTGTTTGATGAATTTAGCACTCTGCCTTACAAAAAGAAAGGTACCAAGTTCCATTTGAGAACTAACCAACCAATAAAATATGAACGTGAAATGTCTACTAGCGTACCTTGACACGTTCAGCGTCTGAGAGAGGCCTTGAGTGGATGTCGGTGTTTAAAAGCTGTGCAACAAAATCTATCACAGGTAATGGCTCAAAGAAAGCTGTTGCCGACATATCTGAAAAGACAGAAAAGGGTTAACAGGTAAATTGAGTGATAAGAACTCAATAATCTGCTAATTTAGCAGCACAAAAAAAAAAGGAACTGAATAAGAAAAGTTCAACATAACAGAACCCCATCTTGTGAACTTCAAAGAAAGACCAACTCAAAGGATGATACATGCCTCAGTTTATGCTTTGCAAAAAAGTTATATAAGAACCTTAAGTCATGACTGATACTGACTGCAACTTGAAAATGCATTACCAAATCATCTGCAATCTTATTCGATGGAATGTTTGCTGTGGCTTTTTCATCAAGAGAAAATGACCATTCCTACCAGTCTATGATTTAGCTGTGAGGCACTTGATGATTCATGAATATTAAGTTAGTCCTAAGTAAAAGTGCCTAATAGACAGTATTGCAGCCATCGGAGATGTGATCCTAACAGGGAGCTTGCTCATGGAATTAAGCAGTTGCTTGTCATCACCCAAATTATATATGGTATTGGACGGACATAGTAAAGCGTAACAACAAGAGTGTTAAGTTGCACGCACCAACCAGTTCAACCCAAAAGCTTTAAGCTTTTGGGAAGAGGTAGGCAATCCACTTATACACTTCAACACCCCCACTCACGTGCAACCAGAGAAGAAGGCGCAAACGTGAGCCCACATGCAGCCAGAGACAAAGGCGCAAACGTGGAAATAAAGGGGGCGGAGTTGCACGCACCAACCAGTTCAACCTAAGCTTTTGGGAAGAGGTAGGCAATCCACTTATACACTTCAACAAAGAGGACCCTGGTTTAATCATGTATCTCATACATATATCCATGAGGGACAGAGCTTTACCAATATTCAATGACAGGCCCATTTGAGTAGGCCGAATGCTCTGGTAAAACCCACGCCAGCATTCTATTCCCTCACCAAGGGACCGCCTCCTCCCCAGGTCAGGAGAGAAAAATGATCGCCCAAATATTGCATATCTTCAAAACAAGAGTGAAATCATTACTGTAAGATTCACACTAATGTATCCTATTATCTGAAACCTAGAGGCTAATTTAATTACCTTGCTGTTGGCAGCTCCCGCAGAACAATATCAAGAACTTGCAAGGCTTCTTGAGGAGCCTCTGCCTGCCTTCCAGCTAAAAATTGGTCCAGACGACGGAGATCAGCCCTTGCAGCAAATTTAATCACCACCTTGTATGTTTTCTTACGCCTAGACATAGAAAAGAGAATAGGAAATGTCAAACAAATATGCTCTTTTCTAGGTCGAGAAAACATTGACAATAGTGGCTCAAGGATACCTCTCGACTCCAGAACCATCATCTTCCTCAAGTAGAGTGATGTGAAATTCTTTTTGAAGTGAATGGCAGTGGACCAGCCGTGTATAGGCTTTTTCTACCATCATAGGCTGGAAGACGCCCTCCCAAGTATGACATCTTGTGTAGCTTCACCAGCTCTTCCATGACAGAGCGGTTCACAATTCGCGATGTAACTTCCGGGGTGATTGAAACCTGATAGGATACACCACATGATTAAAACTCAGTTATAAAGATTCAAGAGAATGTTGAAAGCGATAGACCAACGTACATCATACTGATGAAGATCCTTGTCAGGTAATTCAGCAAAGAAGTGATTTGCCTTCACCAAACACCTGGTGCCAATACTTCCACTTCCTGGGCGGTGAGGAAACTTATATGCATTGCTGGACACTGGAAATGCTTGCACAATGTCTTGGCACATGTTTGATTCGTCTTGTACAGACAAATCTTTCAGCTGATCCGTAACTTCTACAGTAGAAGCTCTTGGTGACAGATCCGGAGAGCCTGTTTCTGGTGAGATGTTATCAGGTTCATGTGAAGTTTCCATTGCTTGGCGCAGCTCGGGAGCTATGGCGGACGGGCCTGCCCCACGTCCACCTCTACCACCACCATAGTAGTGTGGTGGCTGCACTTCCCTGTAAGCCTGACCTTGGCCCAGATATCCTTCAGCAGGGCCAGCAGGCTGCCACCTCTGCGACATCATCCCTCCGCGAGGTTGTAACATGGAACCCTGTCCATGCTGGTAGTAGCCAGTTCCACGACCCCCTTGTGGGAGTTGTTGATGGTAGGAGCCACCGCGGCCACGGAAACCTCTTCCAGGACCTCTCCCACCACCACCGGGCTCAGCAGCCTGTGAGCCCTCGCCAAACCCAGGCAGTTTCGGTCTCCAAGATCCCATGCCGTGGGCAGTGAAACAGTGAGGCTGACAAACTCAATGTGCTGCCAAGAGAGGAAAGTCCAGTTTTTAGAATTTGATCATCACTGTGAAAAATGCACACTTAAACAAGTTAAGGATGTTCATATAAAAACTTGGCTTGTTAGTGTTTAACACAGTCACTCAGCTTTATCTGTGGGTAGCACATGAGGATATAAAGTGGCTAAGCTATCATGAACAATTCAATGAACCTAGACAAGAAAGGATTTTTCTTGCAAGGATTTATAGATCGAGGCTATAAAAAACTAAACAAAAAATAACTTAATGAGCTTACTAAACCATCTAGAGCAACTGAAACAAGATAGATTACTACAGTATTAGAAAACAGTACGTAGTGAAGCTAGGCATGAGAAGACTGAACTTTGAAGGGAAGAAGACAATGGAAACAGCTCCAAAACAAACAAGGCCCACTAATCAAGAAGCACACTATTTTACAGTCCAGATGCATGCTAAATAGACCAAACAAAAATTATCATAGATCAGAGAAAATAGTTTCATTACACCCACCCAGAAACTGTGTCAAAAAATCGTATCTTTCCTACAGGACAAAAACTACAGAGCATTGCCGCATGCTTACCCAACAAAACATGCACAGGAGAGGAAGGAATCAAGTGTGACATCTTCTACAATGAAATATCCGATAAGATTGAATGCTGTAAGCTAAAGGCCTCAGCTTCTGGGCCCAACATAAACCTTACAGATCCACATTACGATGCAAAGATTTGCGACGCGCAGCCATGGGACCAAGAACATACACACTATGGGAAACTACGTAGAAAAGAAGGGAAAAGACAAGAGAAGTAAACGGCTAAACGCATTGGGCATCCTGTTGTATATCAACACCAAAACATATGGAGAAACACAGAAGACGAGAAGAAAAGACGGGTGAAACACAGGAAGTAGAGGGGAGGAAGAACACATGAGTGATTCTCCGGGGAGAAGGACGACAGAGCGGAGGGGAGGAAAGCAACTGGGAAAGGAGAGGGCAAGGAAACTAGAGGGAGCATTCTCGTGGAGGAAGAAGCAGAAGGCCGCTTGTGATCACCTTGGGGAAGAACACATGCAGCAGCTAGGGGAAGTAGAGCAGGACCCTCCCTCCCTGTTGTTTCTTTCAGTGGATCGGAGCGGAGCAGAATGCGAGTGATTGATGTGGAGAGAACAGGGGGAAACGCCAAGAGGATCTATTTAAGCAGCAGGGAGTGCACAGAGACAACGAGCTTCCCTTCTTGTGTGGGCCTGCTGTGTTGCTATCTTCAATTTCTTCTCTGGTGGTCTTGGTTGGGTACCTGGGTTGGTTGGAGGAGTATTATGTTGTTTGGTCAGGAGATATATAATAATATAATATATACTTAACTCTGGGTATTTTCAAGTGTTTACTTTTGATTGAGTAATATACAGGCCGCAATAGTGCAGAAATACACTCTGCCTTTTTTTTTTTTTTGCTATGAAATGCATTCTGCCTTGACTGGGTAGAGTAGAGAGTAGAGCAGAGTAATGACGTGCTATCGATGTGTGTGTGAACCGTGGGGGGAAAAAAATCTACCTACACCTCAGAAATATCTGCCTTGGGGATATAAGAAAAAAGAATATTTGTAAAACTAAAACTTGTAGTTCATTTCCTTAAAAAAATGGTGTAAATCTTTTTTTTTGAAGGACATCACATAACAATTGAGAAAAAATGGTGTAAATCTTACTCAAAGGACTTAACACAAGCATTAACAACAGGTGCGCTCTGTCACCTGCCTATGCAACAACTGCAAGTGTGTACATGTGTTTTTTACCATCGACTCTGGCAAGCGTCCTAAATGACAAAGCAACACTGACAGGACGATTCGACGGGTTCATGGCAATCAAGAACCGAAGACCAGGCTTCAATGATTAGATTAGATAGACAGGGAGCTTGGACCGGAAGGCTACTCCGGATCCGGGTCCTCTGTCCTGTGAACTGTGGTGCACCAGTGTTCCTTACAGGCAGAGGCAGTGGGAGTGGTACCCTAAAAAAGTAACTACAGGACTAGACCCGTCGTCTCCTCCGCTGCTGTGACTAGGATGACTGGTAGGAGTAGGAGTGTGACTGTGTGAGTGGGCTAGCAGTGGACCAGCAGCCGTGGTTTGTGCTTCAAACAGACCACAGTCGCAGCACGCACTGTGATTGTGATTTCATTCATCTCCCAGAGTCCCAGTCCTAGCGGTGCAGGTTGGCCTATGTTTCAACACGAATCAAATCACCACTGTCTAGGAGCAACGCGTGCATCCAGATTATATATTTGTATTTTCTTTCTTGTTATACTCCAGCACAAGCCAGAAGCAGTCATTACCAATAAAAGAAATCGATGTTAGAGGTGCCTTGCGTAGGCAGATGGAGCAGGGCCAACAGGCGCATGCAGGCAGGGGCAGGTGGTGGTGACAGGCACAGGCACAGGCACAGGCAGAGGCAGGTGAATAGTAGTACTACTCTGAGAGCAAGCGAGCGCCGCAACCGCACCTCTTGCCAATCTCGATTTTTTTTAATTTTAACACTTTTTAATAAATAATTTTAAATCTAACACTGTCTGTTTTTTTAAACTAACACTTTTGGCCACGCCTATTACCCTGGCGTGGCCAAATGCCTGTGCCGCGCCATGCATGGTGGCGCGGCAGCGGGCTGACATGGCAACGACCGGACTCGCGGCCGTTGACGTGGCAGGGCACTGCCGCGCCACCGATCTTGGCGCGACAGTGGCGCGCCCTGATCAGTGGCGCGGCAGAGCCGAATAAAACTGCGGCCAGCCCCGCCTGGCCGCCGCGCCCGCCGCCCGCCCGGCGGTACCTGGACGGTTTAATCGGAACGCGTCGCGCCGATAGTGGGAGTTATTCTAAGTATTGCTTAACGTAAAATCAATAGTGGATTTGTTTCTGTATTTTGTTGAATTTTTTTTCACGGCCAAATAGAGAATTTGATAAGCCAATGATTTTTTTCCGTCTTTCATAATACGGTTAACCACCATGTTAACTAATCGATTACGAAAAATTAGATCGGATTAAAATGAATATTTTTTAAGGGAACTTATTTCTTTGGCCTGTTGGCCCCATATTGTAGGATCGGCGGCGACGCGACCATGGACCCCGGCTTCCTCGACTCATCGCGCAAGATGCCGGGACTGCCGGTTCCCGAATTAGTTGCTACTTAAACTCGCTGGCAGTGCTGCCGCGACGCAAAGAAACGAATATAAAGCAAATAAATGAAGTCCGTGCGCAAGTTGACAAGCTACCACATAACATTTTCATTGGTTTGACATAAGTTTGACATAACATAACCAAATAACCCCGCAAGTTTCAGACGCCAATATTCGTTTGACCTAACAAACTAAGACCCAGGAGTGTAAGGATCCCTCGGACGCCTCTGTCTCTTTGGATTTATTGGCAACACATTGAGAGTATAGCCAACGTCGGTATGGTCGCGTCGACGGTGCGTACGGCTCGTACCCTGCAAGTATATGATACGCATGATTACTTATAATTTTTTATGATCGTTAGTTCATGGAGGATACGTATTTAAAGAAACTACCTTTGTTAGTACATGTAAGGCTCCTTGGGTACCAAGCGGGGCACCACTTAGCTGGGACATGTCGATCTCGTCCTACGGCCAATCATCCCACTAGTCGTGCTATTTGCGGAAGCCCAGGGGGTCGTCGTCGTCGTCATCGTCGTCCTCGGTTGCAGGGTCCTTCCCAGCGCTATGATGTGGTGGTGTACGCACCGCGGAAGTGGCACCTGTCATCGGCTGAGAAGAGCCGGCTAGTGTCCTCAAAGAGGCTGATGACGTGCCACCCGACCGCGTCGGGAGTGGCAGTTTCTCATAAGGAGTGTCCATGCAGCTCAGCTCCTGAGCTAGCTTCCTACAGCTCTTCTTCACCTTCTGCATAAATAGATGTTAAAGTTAGTGCATTTCCCAAACGCATATACACTAAAGAAACATTTTTGGAACAGACAAGTTTATGTTTACCTCCACAAAAGCCGCGAGAACGTCTGGCCCCTGCCCTCTACACTCGTGAAGCCGGAACGCTACTTCGTTGGACAGCCTTGACAATTGTGTCGGCTGGGTACAAAAACGCAGTTGGACAGTTTTAGTACACGTACTTAATACCAAAAGGATAACAAATTGTACCATTCAAGTATCTTACCACGTATCTTTGAAGCGGGGCTCTCTGTAGCTGTGTGTCCTTCCTAGTGGTAACGTCGTACACATCTTCGATGACATCTTCCTCTGAGTCCTCATCAATCGCCTCCTCAGTGTACGGGGGCTTGATATGTATCCTCATAGACCTGTAAAGCCACCGCAGGTACTCGTCGAAGGTGTGCTGGTCGTGTGGAGGACCCGCATGGACCAGATGTTGTACCCTGTTCTGCCACAAATGGATGTGCGCGCTGTGTGTCACGCGCCAATCCTTGGTCTTGTACCTCTTCCTGCGGTCGTACTTGCAACAAAACGATGTTAGTTATACCACACACACCTCTGAATTGTAGCTTTGTTATTAATCGATAACGCACCCGTGCAATCCTTGGTTGGTGGAGTAAAGTGGTGGTGGGCAGCCTGTCATTCTTCCAAACTATCTGCAGACCCTGATGGGCAAGTGAATCTCGACCACATGAAAGAAAATAAGAGGGACGTCGCAGCGATACTTGTCTGACTCGTCCCTAGTGACAGGACTCAGATAGTCCTAGAGCTCCGAAGCATCCCAAGGACACCAGTGCACCTGAAATTTCGTAATTGAGTTAAGTTGTGATATAGTGTACATCGAACAAGACACAGGTATGATAGTAAAGAGAGCGTAACCTGGTGCTGTGTCAGGACGTCGAGACCGTCCGTGTACTCCATGTACTTGCGCCTCGCATTCCCTCTAACTAACTCTGCTTCCGTCTAGATATACAGAGCTGTAGGGAGTGTATCCTGCCCGTTCCATCGCTGCATTGAACATGGTAAT